AGATTTGCCTAATTTTATTTGCAGTCATCACTTATGAAAGGGTATCTAAAAGTTCTGGAATATTGTGGTGCAAAAAGAATTGCTATTCACTTTTTGGCAACAAACAAGCTCTTTTTCATCAAAAATGTTACCTGCCTCTGAGAATAGTCTCATTTTTAATGTTTCTTAACTTTTAAATAGTTAAAAAGTATAGGATGCCTAATACAGTAAAAATTTCAGTTTTAACCTAAATGTAAAAATATGAAACAAATAAATAATATATATATATATATATATATATGTATATATATATATATATATATATATATATATATATATATATATATATATATATATATATATATATATATATATATTATGTTGCCATGATGCTGATGTGCAGGCTTTCACTTTCAATCTTGAAGGTAAAAGAATACATAAATATAATTATTGTTCAAGGCCGGAGATTTTTTAACAATTCTGGCAAATCCAGTTTAGGCTGGAATTCAAAATTTCCAATCCGGTACACCCTTAATGTTTTTGTTTAATCAAATGACTTTCATATGACAATCACTTTAAAGTTTTAGAAAAACAAAAAGCTGTAAAAACGGTTCCACTATTTTATTATTTATATGTTAGCAACCATAAATATGGTTGTCAAATCTGTCTGTTGAATGACAGGTTCTGCAACTTGAAATATGACCATTTGCGTGATTTCTCAATTATTTGTTTTTCCAGTATATGTTGATTGCATGCATGCTTAAAAATTAAAATTTTTAAAATATTGTAATAATATACCTAAAAAAAAAAATTAAAAAATTTGGTCGCACATTTAACACAATTATATTGGAAATGTTACTGTTATGTGTGAAATTATACAGATAAAAATGTTAAATTGAAAAACTCAGAAGATGAATAACTGATGGGTATTGAAAGGCCACTACAGTTGAGGAGGCTACTTTAGTTGTGGTTACAAATTTCTCTCAACTCTCTCAACTATAACTTATTAAATATAACAACTTTTCTCAACTATAACTCTGAAACACAAACCTTGATAAACAAGGCTGCTGCATAGAGAAACTGGTTAAGTTGATGGGGATTGTAATAAATTTATAAATAATATATGATAAAAAATATTTTGTGCATATATATATGATAAAATTTTGTGTGTATATATATATATATATATATATATATATATATATATATATATATATATATATATATATATATATATGGTAAAATATATGATAAAAAATATTTTGTGTATATAAATGCTATTAACTTAATTTTTAGTATTGATATAATTTACTTTTTTCTAATCAATTTCAATTTTCTTTATTAAATTGACCAAGAAAACCAATACATAATGGTATTTTAAAAGTTAATTTCAATTTGAATTTGCTTGTATAGGTGCAATTTTAAATAATTTTATAAAAAATTGACTTTAAGGTCAATTCAATTGATAATATTTTGCTGTTTTAATTTTAGATTTATATTCAATCAAAATAAAAGTCTGTAGCTGAGAGAATACTTGAGAAAATTTAAAGTTGCAAATATGAAAAAAAAATTTCTACTTAGGATTCATATAAAAGAAAAAACAATTACAAAAACAAATTAGCAGACAAAAAATTAAAGACTAATTAAATGAATTAATAGCTTCAACTTCAAATTATTGCAGTCCTTAACAATGTAGTCAGACCTTTGGAAAAGCTTCATCAAAATAAATGAGAGACTACCAAAATCACTAAATATAAAGTTATTGTAGAAAGTTTAGGAAATCATGTTGTTTAATTTTAAAAGTAATATAAAAAAATAAAAGAAATTATTTTGTGATATTAAAAAGATTAGTAATTATTTAATATGGAACAAACATTGCTTATAACATACCCTGTCTAAAAGATGAAAAAAGCTGAGAAAAGATTGTTTTTTGACTATATTTTAAAAAGCTATTTTTCAACCAACCTATGGATAGGTAATGCCATTCTCTATTAATACTCTGATACCACAAAAATGTTTTAGGCCATTTGTACCTATGAAATTAACTGTTTTAAAAAATAAGATAATATCAGATAATCCAAGTTTCCAATTGTCAAATAAAAAATTATTATATTGTTGATCTTGTATATAACTTATATTTATTAATAAGTACTCTTCGTTTTCAAAGAAGTTCCCAGTGCCTTGGACTTAAATTGTTGAACTTTAATTTTGTAAGCCTATAGATTATCCTTGATATAGGAAAATGTTCTTGCTTTTACATACAAATTCAAAATGTCTTCAGGAACATTTAAACAAACCTCTTCATTAACAAGTGTATCAGATTTACTTCAAGTCTGATCTGTTATGCATGTTTACACGTTTGTGCTTAGGCAAATTATTGCTTCCTTGATATTGAGCAGCAAGTAAAATAGATATATACTGCTTGTTGTATTCTTCCTTATAAATAAAAACATACCCAAATAAATAAGCAATAACAGATTAATCCCTATTAAAAAGTACACAAGCCTTCCAAGATGAAATTGTATCGCTCTGAACTGATTGACCAAAAAGATGCAACAATAAATGGTTACATACTTCAAATCCAAGTAATGTGGAACACTGTGTATTTAATCCTATAAAAATTGAATCAATATTTTCAAAGATACATATGTAAAAAACTGGATAAAAATTTTCAGCATTTCTTTGAAAAAAAGATATAACTGGTTTTATAATCTGGTATGCTGTGTCAGCTATTGAAATTAATCACTTCTTTTTAAATTTATTTGAAAATCTTTAAGATTAACAACTTCTAATATCTTTTAAAACATTAAAATGATTTGATAAATCATTGGAATTTTTATTATTAATGTGACAAGTGAGACCCTAGAATTTAAGCATTTATTTTACAAAATTGACAGGAAAGTGTTAATTGTAGTATATCTAAAGAGGAACCCTCGGAATTAGGAAAAATGAGGTCAGCAAATTAATACCGACTTCAATCATTTTGAGGTCAGCAAAAATTATTTGATATAAAGGTCTGACTATAAAACATAGAAACGAGGTCGGCAATTTTTTGCCAACCTCAAATACTTTCAGGTTGACATTGCAGAATGCTGACGCTAATTCTGAGGGTTGGAAGAATGTTGTTTTTCAGCAACATCATTTAACAAATCCTGGTCAATGACTGCAAAAATTGAATCAAGCATATCTTGATGCAACTCAAAGATGGGTTTAAAATGATTTAAATCTTCTGAAGGTGCAGTCATCATAAAGTTTGTTTTGCACCTTATTCACTCAGACCACCTAATTTTCAACTTGAACAATAAAAACTATTAAAAATGACCAGTGTTTCCAGATTTTCGAGACTTTTCTTTTTATGACAATGTTTAGATCAAAAGATTGCTGAGACTTTTTTCTAGATGATTGCAGACAACTAGTTTTTTTTTTTTATTATTATTTTTTTTTATTTATTTTTTTTTTATTCACCTCCTCAAGGCCGAGAAGGCCACTAAGATGAGGAGGCTACTTAATAGTGGTTATAACCCTCTCTCAACTCTATAACTCCGAAACACGAACCTTGACGAACAAAGCCGCTGCACGGAGAAACAAGTTGAGCGCGGCACTACCAGGGGACGTGGTGGGGAGTTTTAAGCTACTATTAACAATTGTAAAATTGCTTACAACTAGTTTTTTTCTTCAACCTAATAAAAAGTTTAATCTAGTCAATCTTTTGAATTAAAATTGCAAAAGCCTAATATTTGACTTCATTGAGTATTGACAAGTGCTTATTAATCAGAATTAAACTTCAACTAGAGAGTAAATATATATATATATATATATATATATATATATATATATATTATAAATATATATTTATATATATATATATATATATTATTCTTTGCTTCCAACAAGGCTGCAAGCAACCATTATTTAGAGTTAAAGGTTACTGGAAGAAAAAAGATGAAGTTTATAGAGCAAAAAGTGATAGAACTGATTGACAAATAACTTAAAAGATTGCAAATTATGAATCAGGAGAGCAAGATGAAAGAAGCAAATTCTAAAAAACTGATTTACGAGGAAAAAAACTAGGTGAATAGGAGTTTTTAGAGCATTTAGGAACAGTCACACTAAAAGAATGAGACTTAATTGAGTAACTTATTTGTACCTTATCTAAAAGAGAAAAGACATAATTGGAAAATCCGCCCCAGATATGGCAACAGTATTCCATACAAGAGAAGATTTGAGATTTATAGAGATAAAGAATAGAGTCCGAAGTAAGAAAGTGTCAAGCATGATAAAGAGCATGCAAAATTAGCATCCTTAGCGGATGCTAATTTTGGATGTTAAAATGACTTAAGATTGTCTTAGCACAGAATGTCTTGTGTTGACAATATAAAAGATATTTCTCACTATTACAGCAACATTTAAAGAGAAAACAGCTTGTGCAAGGCTTTACAATATAAATAGTGAAAAGATAATAGATAATAATATAAATAGATAATAATAATAGATAATAGATAAAGTTTGATAATACTAAATGATGATGCCCTAATGCTATAGTTTAATCTATGTTAAGCAAATAAAGATATATAAAAAAAAAAGACTGTAGATTATCTAGATATGCTTGAAAAACTGTGCAGACAAAAAGTATTTAAATACCTTTTGTTTATACAATTATTTTACAAATATTTTGTATTATTTTTTCGAATTAAACATAATTTCAGCAGAGATTTGTTACAGACATGCAAAAATTTGATGAAATAAAAAAAGAAGATAGTTAGAGCACCTGTATTAGCTATTAAAAAATGAGAACTATAAATACTTATTTGTTAAGCAACTTGATGATTTACATGATGTTATGATAGAAAGAATTGTTAGAAAACTCTGTCATAAGTGGTACGATACTTAGGATTCAAAGCCTAATATTTATTATAGAAAGGTAGAAAAAACAAACAACTTATATTTAGTTTGAACTTATTTCCAGTAAGAAATAATTAAACTGTAATCCTACAGTTAAACAGCCTAAAATAATTTAATTTTTTAGAAGGAAAATGTTATAAAAATGCATATTAAAAAAATTATTAATTATAAATAATAATAATAATTATTGATAATGAATATTTTTATACTTGTAATAATAATTGTTATTATAAATCATTAAAAAAAATTTAAATAATAACTATAATATTTATAATAGAGATTTTATGATATTTTTAAAATCACTATGTCATAGTGATTTTAAAAATATCATAAAGTGTCATAGTGTATGAACAAGAGTTCGAGAATAAAATTATTTTAGGTTGCTGTAACTGTAAACTGAAATATTATCTCAACTTGATTACCTAATTAAATAATATTTCTTACTTGAAACAAGTTCAAACTGAAATTGAAGCTTTTTAATATTGCATGAAAGAATCTAGCTTGCTGCTGATGTAGTATCAGAAGAATTAATTTTATCTTAATTTGATTGCAATACAAATTTATGCATACTTTACATTTCATAAAAATGTACCACAAAGTTTGTAGCTTGCAAAATAGGTCAGCAAATTTTATGGCTTTCAAAAAGTACCGTAAGTTTTGTGAATATTTTGAAATTGTCATATTTGCAAGTCACAAAAAGTTTAGCGACTTGCAAATATGAAAATAATAATAAATTGTACAATTATTAATAGTAATTTTACTAAAAAAATACTATTAAAATATATGCTTTAATTATTTTTTTTTAAAACAACTATGTAAACCATTAAACAAATTACTTTATCTTTCATTCTTCTAGTAGATATGTTTTCGGGTGTTTTTTTTGTTTTTTTTTTTTTTACTACGAACTACAATTTTATAAATAGTTAATATTACAATATTTTTTTGTTTTGTGTTGTCAAAAATCTTTTTACGGCAACCGATATATCCATATCTGGCAACCTGCCAGATATGTTCACAAGATATGTTTAAAACCAATATGTCAATACGGCAACCGATATGTCCATAACCCATATGTCCATAACTAACATAATATGTCAATAACTAATCTGTCATAACGCTATATTATTTCCAACTTACAGAAACCCAATACCACTATCCTATAGGCAGGGTCATTTTCTCTTTCTCCAATTATTAAGATGCTCCTAGAAGACATGTCTGCCTTATCACAGAGCAAAAGTTAGTCTCCTTTTTGGCATCAATTACAAAGCTCTTGGTTCTGAGCCAGAATACATTAAACAGCGTTTATTAGGACAATATTGTATTTTTAAATATAAATCGCATTATTAAATATTAATACATTGTTACCCAATGTATAAACAAAAATACAAACATATAAAATCCAAATACTGTAAACGTAGATAGTGTACATAGGCAATTGAATTGGAGCTAAAATCATTGTAGCTATAAAGTTTGTTCAAAATTTAATTGTTTAACAAATTTCATAGCTAGAATAAAGCTAGAAATACTGTTTGTCAAAGTCATTCTGATATTATATTATTCTGATATTCTGATAATATAGAAAAATTCAAGAAAAATAGGGGCGTTAATCAGGGTTGCTGTCCCAGGAGGCGTGAAGGTTCTCGGCGCACCTTCTCCTAACAGACATCGCTAAATTTTTTTTTTTTTTTAATTTAGTCTTGTCACAGAGCTCCACTGAAGTGCATTTAACCAGGAAGTTCACGTATCCTTAAGGATACGTCACAAAAATATAGTTTTTGAAATTTTCAAAAAAATTTAAAAAAACCCCGCTTTTTCACCCTGCTACCTTAACTAGTAAATCAGCGGCCGTGGCGCCGCTTGCTTTATCAGCAGATCGAGGTTCGAAACAAACTTTGGACATATTTCGCGTCACAGTAAGAAAGGCCTTTCTTACTGTGACGCGAAATATGTCCAAAGCTTGTTTCGAACCTCGATCTGCTGATAAAGCAAGCGGCGCCACGGCCGCTGATTTACTAGTTAAGGTAGCAGGGTGAAAAAGCGGGGTTTTTTTAAATTTTTTTGAAAATTTCAAAAACTATATTTTTGAGATCTTTAGGGTGTTATTTTTTGTAGAAACTTGGTTTGATTGAAAAAAACTTATGCATTTATACAAAATTTACCCTTCTAGGCCTATGAAATTAAAGGTATTTAATTTCATAGGCCGTAGCAACCGCCTTAGCAACGCTTTTTTTCAAATATCTCTGGATTAAAACCTGATCAAGACATCTAGTTTTCACCTAAAAGGCTTCTTTTTATTCTTTTAAATATCTCTATTTATTCAGTTTATAAGCTATATACTGAAGCCTCAAAAACCGTTCTCAACTCAGAGCTTCTAAATAAAGGTTGTGTTATAGATTCTTATATCCTTCAGTTAAAAAATATATATATATTTTAATTAATAAAACTATTATTACTTGGAATGGGTTCTGAAAAAAGATATAAAAAATTACAATCTAGAAAAAGAAAAGGATTTACCACAAGAGCTTTAAATGACAATATATCAACAACAGTAAACAATGAACTGAGTCAAAATAAATCTGATTTAAAATCAGCATTTATAAAAAAATTAAATGTTTCATTTTCTGATAATGATACTCCAATTGCCACCCCTGGATGCAATTTTTTTATAGACAGTGATCTTTTCATGTCTCATTAATATAGTTGGACGATGCTCTGTTTGTATTGCAGCAATAGACAAATGGGTCTTGCCCAGTTTTTTAATATTCCATGCACCAAATGTAATTGGAAAATAACATTTTGTTCTTCAAAAGAGTGCAGTAAATTAAAGTCTACTTCAATAAAAAAAAGTTTTAAAATTAATATACAAACAATTGCTGCATTTAGAGAGATCGGTCAAGATTTTAGTGCAATAAAAACATTTTGTTCTTGCATGAATATGCCATCACCAATGGCCAAAATAACATATAATGAAATTAATAGCGAGTTGCATAATGCCTTCGTACAAACAGCACAAGAGTCAATGAAAGAAGCTTCCAAGCAAACAAATTTTAATTAAACTGTAGATGATTCTGTTGTTATTGATGCTAAAGTTAGTGGTGACGGTGCTTGGCAAAAAAGAGGATACTCTTCCTTGAATGGTGTAGTTACACTAATTTTGGAGGGGAAATGCATCGATACTGAAGTAGATGCATATAATAACTGGAAAGAAACTTATGTATGTTCAATAAATCACATTGGCAGTGCTGGAGCTATGGAAGTTGTAGGAATGAAAAGAATGTTTGCACGTTCTGTACATCTTCATTGTCTAAGATACACATTTTTTATTGGAGATGGTGATACAAAATCCTTTGAAGAAATATGTAAATCAGATCCATATCCAGGTCATAGCATTACCAATAGACAATGTATAGGACATGTCCAAAAACGTGTTGGAACCTGACTGCGTAAACTTAAAGCCGATTACAAGGGGAAAAAGTTGACTAATGGTAAAAGCATTGGGGGAGGGAAAGGTCAGCTAACTAATAAAGTCATGAACACTCTTCAAAACCATGTTGGAATGGCCATACAACAAAATAGTAGCAACCTGTATGGGATGAAAAAGGCTGTTGCTGCGGTTTTACACCATGTAACAGATGAGCCAAATTTAGAAAACTGACATCAGTTCTGTCCACGTAGCTCTGATTTTTGGTGCACATACCAAAGTGACAAAATCACAGAAGCAAAAACATATAAAGAAAAAGTTAACATTCATAAAGCTATTTCTGATGTTATTGCTCCAATATTTTCTCACAGAGGTCTTGGTAGTGATTAACTTCTGACGAAATGTTTACACGGTGAGACCCAGAATGTCAATGAGTCTTCGAACAATTTGATATGGACACAGTTCCCAAAAAGGGTATACATTGGAAATGATGTTTTTAAAAACTGCAGTTGCATCTGCTGTTATTGCATACAATGACAATGCCCAAGGACTGCTTCCAGTTTTCAATAAACTGGGCATTTCACTAAAGAAGGTTTTAGATTATCTGATATTTGTCGTGTCAAACAATCTGAGAAAAAGTCAACCAGCTCAGTAAAACAAAGAAGAAAGAAACTTCTTTCAATTAGAAAAGGTCATAATGATAAAAATGAACTTGAGGAAAGAGAGATATGCTAGTGGAGCATTTTAATTTGGTTTTTGAGTTTTATTGTTTCATTTAATTTTATTTATTTTTTCTTTAAGGTTTTTCTTGTCTTTAATTTTTCAAAATTTTTGTGGTCTTTTAACAAAGATAACTTTTGATTGGATAAAGCTACTAAGCTAAATTTTTTTTTTGGTGTTACATTGTTCTATTTAGAGTGTTCTGAGCAAAGCGCTTTTTAAATTTTTTTAAAAACATAGCTAGCAGTGCTAAATTTGAAGTTTGACAGTGAACCTGGCGCGTTTAAAAAAAATTTTTTTTTTTTCTGTTTCGCTCAGAACATAGTATTACTAATAAAGATTGCAATTAAAAAATTAAAAGTGATTCTGATCATTTTTCATTAAGTTATCCTTGTTGGAAGAAACATAAAATTAAGGCAAAAATCCTGACATGTACAATTGATGACGTCATTATTAAATTTTTATGCAAATAGTGTTAAATGTTTTTTTTTTTAATTGTATTTTTTATTACAATAAAGCATATTGAATAATTTTGACTTTTTTTAAAAAAAAGCGTTTTTAACCTGCTACCACCTTAATGTGTGGATCACTCTGTTCCGTCTGGTATTTTTTCTTACGCTACAATGTATATCTTTATTAAAATTTTAAATATAACACAACTGAAATCTATTTCATCATACAAAAAAAGTGTTTTTCTGGCCATTTTGTAGTATGGTTAGGTTTGTTATTAAATAATTCTACATATTTTATCATTTCATTTACATTATCTTGTTCCTATATTTTAAAAAAAAACAACCTTAGAGACATTTAAAACAAAGTTTAAGTTAGTCTAGTAAAAATAGTTCTTCTTCACATGAATACGTAAAGAGAAAGCATAATCGGCTTATAAATAACTGTTGCGAGAACATTAAAAAACAAGTTGCAAAATTAAGCCGGGAATTTTTTACAGAAATGATATTTCGAGTTTAAAACTTTTTGAAGTTTAAAATAAATTTTTATGATGGTGTTAATTATATACTTTAAAAAAGTTTATATTAGTTTTAAATAATTGTCTTTTTTTTTTTTTTGTTATTAAATTTATATTTTGTATATTAAATTTATATAAGGTTTATATTAGTTTTAAATAATTGTCTTTTTCTTTTTATTATTAAATGTAATAGGCGATATAGTCCAATCATTTTAGTAAAAATAACCACAATACCTGCAAAAATTCTTAATAAATTCTTAAAAAACTATTGGCATTTTTCTTATAAGATATATACAGGCACGCCGGAAAGGGGTAGCCTTGGTTAGCAACTGCTACTCCAGCTTTTTTGGCTGGGGTGGCAAGGGTAGCATGAATGTACTCTTTCTAGGAAATAGATATGGTAAATTTTTTGCTTTAAAAGCATTTCATTATCCAACATTTCATTATCAATATTTTATTATCAATATCTATCAACTAAAACTCGTAATAGGTGGGATAGGTGGTAATAGATTAATTATTTTTCAAAATTTTTAAAGAGAAAACAGTTTAAAATTGATTTAAATGAAAATTTAAAAAATATTTTATTGAAGAGAAAAAAAAAGGCCCGAAATTAAAAAGCAGGAGTGGGGCTCAGATATAACTCAGATAAATAAATCGACGTTGAAGAATTTTTTGTAAATCGCAATCACGTTAAGAACTAATACGTTTCCAAAAATCAATTCGATATTAAATAAAATATTTTATATTAAATTCTATTCTTCTTGCTATCGACATACGTTACAACTTTTTCTTTTTATGCTTTAACTCTTTATATATATTCCAAATGTTTTTCAGTAGATTCTTTGCAAAAAAGCAATAGTTTTTTTAGTTTTTATTTTTATTTTCGAGAAAAAGCGAAAAAAAAAGGAACACATTGTAAAAACAATATGCAGTTATAAAACAAATATAGCAATAGTTTCTTTAATTAGAATTTTTATTTTCGATGTTTATTTTCGAGTGGTGATTATTTTCGACGATTATTTGAGTACAAACTTAGATCTCTTGCAACTTTATTTCTTAATCGTAATCATAACTTAAATGTAACGGTTTTAACCACTGAACACTGAACACAAAAGTTCAGTGTTCAGTGGTTACACTGAACACTGAACTTTTGTGTTCAGTGTTCAGTGGTTAAAACCTGAACACTGAACACAAAAACTAAGGAATTATCAAAAGCATCAACATCACCTTATCAAATCAAAATTACTACTTTGTTGAAAAAAATAACTACTCAACCGGTGGAGCCAGAAAGCCCTCACGATGAACTACAGAATCAGCATAAAGCAGTCAAGAATAGACGATACAGATAAACAGGAGTTCGATACAAAAGTTGATGAAATTCTAACGGAAAATCTTGTTAGAAAATCGGAGGATTTCAGTGAAATTGATAAAAAAAAAACAGTGACCAAAAAAAGGAAGAATTTGTATTAAGACTTGGTTCAATGAGTTTAGTTGGTTATTTTATGATCGATCACTGAAAGCTGACTTTTGTGAAACCTGTACAAAATATGATTCATGTTCTGGTGGAGTGTTCAAGCATGGAGTCGGGAAATTATTTAGAATATGGAGAAAATCTGCAGCAGCACTGTAAGATCACGAGGACTCTAGTGTTCATAAGGCTGCAAGTACTCTAAGAAAACAGGGCTGTGGAGTCGGAGTCGGAGTTGCGGAGTTGCGACAATTTTAGCGGAGTTGCTAAAAAATATCGCGACTCCTACTCCGATAGTAAAATTTCTTGGTATTGCACGTGCATGTACAAAACATTCAGTTAATCTTATGTTCATACTAAACCTCAACGAATGTTTCATAAATTGTCAAAAAAAAAATTTCAACTTATCGCGCAATATTTTTTAAAGAACTCAAAGAATTTTTCAAAAATTTTGCTTTGGAGTTGCAGTAGGAGTCGGAGTTGGAGTCAGAGTCAGAGTCGGAGTTGTACTCAAAAAATTTCAACAACTGGAGTCGGAGTTGTACTCAAAAAATTTCAACAATTGGAGTCGGAGTCGGAGTCGTTACTTTTTTTTTACGACTCCGCACCCCTGGTTCTTTTGATGTTATATACATAAAATATACAAATATATTCTATAACAAACAAAAAAGGAGAGAGTTTTTAAAAACATCTAAATTTTCAGCAAATGGCGTACATGAGATGGGAGGACAGTGGGTTAATTATAAAAGAAAGGAGACAGTAAATTTAAAAAAATATCATAAAATGTTGGATAAATAGGTTAAAAGCGTAGGTACTTTTAGGGAGGTGGAGGGTATTCAAAAAAGCGCGCGTGGGGGGGGGGTCTACTTAAAAAAAGCGTACGTACTTTATTTACGACCCCTTATGAGTCGTGCATATGTTAGTCACGTTTTAAAACAAGTTACACTTTTTTTCCACATACTAAAAATTATTGAAATAAAAGCGACTATATATAGAATAAGTATAGAAATGATCCGTGTTGAATATACTTACCTGGAATAATGAAATTACCGGGTCATGGTAATTTCATTATTCCATATATTTTAAAGTCTTATTTCATATATTTTTTAAACTTTTTATACCAATTGTAATCAACATGTTTTAAGCGGGTACTTATTATTTAAGCGGGTAAGTATCATTTAAAATACCCCAATATCCGAATTGGCGATAAATAGCTATTTGCGCAATGAAACCTAAGCGCCTAAAATTTTTTAAAGTTCATTATTTTATGACATTTTTTTTATTCATAACTTTGAAATGTTTATCATAGTCATACGAATAAATATTTCTTGTGATTATAGGTATATGTATAGTTTTTCTACCGCTTACTAAAAAATATTGAAATAAGAAATAAGTATAGAATTGTTCGGTGTAGACTTACCAAGACGGGTTATGGTTTTATGGGTCCAGACAGCTAGTCAACAAAAAAAAAAAAAAAAAAGATTCATTTTGTTATTTAATTTTTTGTGTAAAAGCTGTTCACTAAAATTAAAATAAATCTAATCAAATGTATTCTGATAAAGATTTTACGTTTCACGCAATATTTTCTATAGTGCAAGTACTAAATTCAAGTAAACACCTTAGTCAATCAAAAACAACAACATGTTGCTTTTGATTTTTTAACAGCAGCAACAACAACAACAAAAAACAAACAAACATACTTAAAAATTATATGTAATAATATTATTAAAATTAAATAAAAATAGAATAATATTTAATTAATCTAATATATAAATAATATATTATTAAATTAATATTTTTAAATAAAAATAAAAAATTAGTATATAATACAAATTGTTATTAGTATATAATTGTATATAATACAATTTGTTGTTGTTGTTATTTTTGTTTTTGATATATCACACGATATTCTTATACTTTACACGATATACTTTTTTGATATATCTTATATTATTATAATTAATATAAGGAGTTTGATATATCACAAACAACAACAAAAAAAGTTGTTGTTGTTGTCGTTGTTGTTGTTGCTGTTGTCGTTGTTTTTTTTGTTGTTTTTGATATTTCACACTTCTTATATCATTAAAAAAAATATAAGAAGTGTGATATTTCAAAAACAACAAACACAATAACATCACCAAAAAATTTTGTTGTTGTATTTTTTGTTGTTTTTGTTGTTATTTTTGTTGTTTTTGATATATAAAACTTCTTATATTATTAATATTCATATAAGAAGTGTGATATACCAAAAGTAACAAAAGCAACAACAACAACAACAACAACAACAAAATACATCAATTTATACTATATTTTAAACAACTGTATTATATATAATACAACAGCAGCAACAGTTTAAAATAAAATAATAAGATTTAAATTTATTTTATTAATAAAAAATAATAATGTTATAATAATTAATAAAAGAATAAATAAATATTTAATAAAAATTTAAATAGTCAGTTTTTGAATTTTGAAAATGTAGGGAGAGATTTTAAATGTGAGAGGAGACTATTCTGTGTGCATATGCTCATTCCATACATAATTCCATGTGCATATGTCTGATATTTAACAGGTTCATACTCTGTGTAGTTGAGGCAATTTTAAAATATTATAGTGTTTGTATGATATTTTGTTGACTACAACATATTTCCATTAAATGGTCAAGTCAGTGAATTATAAAAAGACAAAAAAAAATTAAAATGATAAATTTTGCATTATCATAAAATATAAAAGTTTGTAGCAAAAAACTCAGGCTGAAGATTTTTTTTTTAAATCTTCCTAAAATCACAATCGCTTGTCTAAATTTGAATAAGATTTTGCCTATCGCAAAATCTTATTCAAATTTAGACAATCGCTTGTCTAAATTTGATGTTCATTTTGCCTAAAAAACAAATATGTTTTTTAGGCAAAATGAACATCAGAGTTGAATAATATGATCGTTCTGATTGTTAATTGACAATTTTGATATATTTAGTTCTTAAAAATGTCAATAGAAAAGAATTCTGGTACATTTAGTTTCTTTAACTTTCATGGAAGAGATTATAAAGTTGATCTTCATTTAAATAACAGCCAACTTTTGGTTATTCATGTTGATGATTGCCTAACTTTGGATCGGTGGATTGGAAAATATGATGCTAGCTGTAAGTGTTTTAGTATAGGTGACTGTAACAACATTTAAAAAAGTGTCAGTAATATATATATATATATATATATATATATATATATATATATATATATATATATATATATATATATATATATATATATATATATATATATATATATATATATATATATATATGTATATATATTATTACAATAATAATAAAATAAAAACTTCAATCATTCATGAAAAAAAGATTTCAATTTATGCTAAAATTTTGGACTTTTACTTCCAAACATGGAGAAAACTCCAAACGTTTATATGTTTTTACTTATGCCAAATAACCCAAATGTAGAGCAAGTTTGGTGTATATTTGAATTAGGTTTAGAAAAATTATTATGCGGGTGTGTATATAGAACGGGAGCAAGGGATATGAATAATTGTAATGATATAATTAAATTTATAAGATACGCTTATATGAATATAAATAAAAAGTTCAACGGGTTATTAATATGTGGGGATTTTAATTTCCATACAATCAAATGGTCTGAAGAATATTTTGGAATGTTATTGAATGCGTCTGATGTACAAGCTAAAATATTCCTAGAGTGTTTAAATGATTGTTTTTTACACTAAAACGTAATAAAACCTACATTTCCGAATAACATAGAAGTAATGACTAACGTATTAGATCTAATTCTCACTGAATGCAAAAATCGTATTTTCGGGTTAATTCATCTCCCACCACTAGGAGATATATTAATTATGGGTACCATATTATTAAATTCAAATATAGCTTTGTTAATTGCACGATCGAAAGTAAGTTTATATATGAAAAGATAAATTTTAACAAAGGTAATTACTATTAAATAAGCCAATATTTTAAAACTATAAACTGGAGTAGAGAATTTCACAATATAGATGCGAACAAAAAATTAAAGAATTTGAACATGATCTTGCTGTTAATTCGAAGTCAAATCCTAAACGTGTATACGCGTATATTAATAATAAGAATAAAGTAAAAGACAAAATTTGAGCTATTCAGTTGAAAGATGGTAAAATTGTGACAAATGGTAAAGAAATAGCTGATAGCTTGAATGGATTTTTTGCTTCTGTTTTTACTAAAAATGACAGTTCTCAAATTCCAACAAACTTTGTGAAAATTTCATACTGTTTTTAAGACCCTGAATTTAATAAAACAATAATTGAGAGCTACTTAAATAAATTAGACACAAATAAAGCAACAGGACTAGATAAAGTGCACCCAAAAGTTCTCAGAGAATGCTCAGATGTATTGTTCGAACCATTATCAATCATATTTAACAAATCATTTCAATCAGGAACAGTACCTAAAATTTGGTCATTCGCCAATATTATTCCATTGTTTAAAAAAGGGAACAAACTTAATCTAACTAACTATAGACCTGTCTCATTGACATCTATTATGTGTAAAACAATGGAGAGTATCGTTAGGGATAAGATGATGAAACATCTAACAAATAACAATTTAATTAACGTGAATCAACATAGCTTTGTAAACAAAAAAAATTGTGTTTCAAATTTGTTGGAAACATTCAATTATATTACAAGCTCAGTTAATGAAGGTTGGCCATTGGTGATCTTATTTATGGACTTTGCTAAAGCATTCGACTCGCTAGACCATGAGAAGTTTTTATTTAAGTTAAAAAGCCTTGGATTTGAATCGAAAGTATTAAACTGGTGTAGAGGCTTCTTAAAAAAATAGATCGCAGAGAGTGGTATTAGATAGTTTTGAATCAGATTGGGAAGTTGTAAGCGGCGTACCACAAGGATCAGTTTTAGGTCCTCTCTTATTTGTTGTATTTATTAAAGACATAACAAAAAGAATCAAATCACTTTGTAAAATGTTTGCTGATGACATAAAACTCCGAGCTATCAAAGATGTTAATGATTCAATTGAACTACAACAAGATATTAATTCATTAGTAGAATGGTCAAACGAGTGGTCACTAAAATTCAATAAACAAAAATGCAAAATAATAATATTTGGTAATAGTCAACAACAATTTGAATTTATGATCAAGGGCGAAAAATTATTGGTTACAAGTTTGGAAAACAATTTAGGAATTCTAATTTCAGACGATTTGGAATGGAATAATCATGTAAACTGTGCAGTGAACAAAGCGAATCAAAAGCTTGTTCAAATCAAACATGTTTTCTGTTATATGAATGAGATTATGATGAAGATGTTATTTGTCTCATTAGTTAGACCTTTCTTAGAATATGCAGCCACAATTTGGAACCTGTACTGGCAGTATGATAAGAATAAATTAGAGAAAGTCCAACAAAGAGCAACTAGAATCAAAAGCTTACGAGGGTATAGCTATGAAGAGAGACTTAAAAAACTAGATCTATTAATGCTCGAAAATGGAAGAAGAAGAGAAAATTTAATTCAAATGTTCAAATATTTTAATAGATTTGACATAATTAATTTTCACTGTCCACTAGAAATTATTGATAATGAAAGAAAAACAAGGGATCACAATTTGAAATTAAGAAGGCAATTAACAAGCAACATGAAAAGATTTAACTTGTTTACAAATAGAGTGGTGAATGATTGGAACAATCTCGATCAAAATGCAATAGATACAAGTTCCATCAATCAATTTAAAAACAGAATAGACAAACATTCTAAATATTAGCGATTGTTTTTTAAAGCTATTTTGTTTTGTTACAGCTCTTTTGTTTTGTCTCGAACTCTGCGTAGTTTGGACTCAACACTCAAGAAATTGAGTGTACAGCATATTTCTATTCTATTCTATTCTAAAGAAAGTTTTGTTGCCAGACTTAAATTATCACAAAATTGTGATAATTTAACTTGGGAGCTAAAAAAGTTGGGAGCTAAAAAACTTGGGAGCTAAAAAAGACCTAAAAAACATGAGTCGCTTTAGCCCCAAATGTGAGAGCAGCAAGAAAAGTGTGAACAACATAGTTTCATAAACATAACTATTTATTGTTTATGTATATTTGAAAATCACAAATCAGCTAATTTTAAAAGTTTTGTCCCTAATATAACCATTTAATTTAGGCATTTGACATAAAAAATAATTTTGGAAAAAAATGTAGTTTTGTACCCGAATGGGCTATTCTGCATCCCTTTTAACAAACAATTTGAACGTTTTAACACCGTTCCCCTTGATTTCCTATTCTACTTTAACCCCCGATTAAACTCAAAGGCAGTATAATAATAGTCACTTTCTAGGAGAGGTATTTGGTGGTAAGCATTTTTTAAATCATATGTGCTAAATAATGAATATTTGGCAACAGAGTTAACTAACTCATTGATGTTAGCTAAAGGATAAGGATCAAATAGTTTAAAGCAATTTATTGTTTGTGAGTGACCATGCGTTTCTTATGTCTCTTATTTCTAGTAACAACTATTTGTGATTGCCAAGGAGAATTACTGGGTTTAATAATATCTATTTCCAAAAGTTTTTTTGTTTCTTTTTCAATGAATGCTTTGTCCTCTGGATTATATTGTCTAGAAGGTGAAGCAATCAGCCTACAATCTGGAGATAGAAAACAGAAAAGAGTGCAGCTTTTATTGTAACACTTATTAGAGAACAGTTTTTTAAAGAATCTTTTTTGCCACCATAATTGATATAAAGATATTTGTGCAACTGTAAGAAATCTCTGCCAAGTAGGATTTGCTCACAAAAATAAGGTATAACCAAAAAGTATATATTAGAGTATTCCATACCAAATAAAGTGAAGTTAGTTAAAACTTTACCTATAACTTTACAAGATAAGGAAGGATCAGCCATAGAGACTTCTTTATTAGAAGGAAGTATGTTAAGTTTTAAAGAGTCACAATGGTTTGCTTATAAATGTGTCAGAACTTCCAGTGTCAAGAAGAGCTCTTACCTTGGCCATAGCAGTAAAGATATAAACAATAGAATTGAGTGAGTTGATGGAATAGCAAGTAATCAAGGCTAGACTTAATGTATGGAAGTTAGCAGCAGCAGACATGCCAAAGTTCTTTGATGATTTGCATGCTTTCTTAAAATGTCTTTTCTTACCATAATTATTACATTCTGCGTCTCTGGCAGGACATGATTGTCAAGGGTGATGTTTACTTCCATAGAAATAAATAAGTCCACTTGGCTTATTATGAACTGAAGCAAGCTCAGTAGTACATTCAAAATGTTTATTTATTGTAGCAACACTACTATACTCAGTGTGTGCATAGATTTCATTATTTCTTTAAGCATTTTCCAATGAACAAGCTTGGTTATAGGTTTCAGTAAGTTTAAAAGTAGAGTTTTTTAGTAGTCAATTGCAAATGATGAAAGCTTAGACCACTTATAAATGAATCATGAATGTATTCTTCACAATGTTCGGAAGCAGAAACCTGTTTAAAGTTGCAATCTTTACTGAATGTATGTAAGGCCTGCAAAATCTCATCAATAGTTTCTCCGGATGATTGTTTACGTGAAGCTAACTGATGTCTGGAAATTAATTCATTTTTAGGTTTTACAAATAAGTTTTCCAGGATTTCTATATTGCCCTTAAATGTTTCAATTTCAACAATATAGTTGAACATGGAAGGAGATAAATAGTTAATGAGGACATCTAATTTATCTTCTGTTTGGATAGTTTTCATGAAGTTTGTAAAAGTTCTAAACCAGTGTGACATTCTTTAGGTGCTGATGCAGATTTGAGATTGCTGTCAAATCATTCCAGTCTTAGATATTTGTCTATTAAAATATGAAGAATAAATTGTAGCATAGTGAATTTAATAGTCTTTAACCCAACATAAAAGACTTTATTCTTCATCTAATAATATGTAAACTAAAATATACAAACAGGTTAGTTTTTGTTTACACATAATAAAATTCAACAAAGATATTAATAATAATAAGAATCATCACAAGTAACATTTCATAAAACGATTTCTTTTAGCATTAAGAATTAAGTTTAAATGATTTTAATATTTTGTAGAAATTGTGATGATATTAAAAAAAAAAATAAATTCCAAGTTAAATTACTTGGGTGTTA